ACTGTTCTAGTTTTAACTTAAAATTCGATGGCAAATTGCCCTACGCGATCGCGGAAATAGGGATGCGATCGCGAAGGGTACCACTGACTGGTCATCGCGATCGCGTGGAGGGTTACGCGATCGCGTAGAAGAACTACTGGGGGTCCAAGGATTTGGCTTACGCGATCGCGTGGTTCAAGTCGCGATCGCGAAGGAAGACGACTCAGTGCTATGCGGTCGCGTGGGGATGAGCGCGATCGCGAAGAAGGAAATCCCTGTGTAAAAATTGCAGAAAATCTGATATCACCCTAAGTCCAAAACCACCCCGGACACCTCCGAAAACACTCCCGAGCCCTCGGGGCTCCTAACCAATCACACACACTAACTCAATAACATCCTACGAACTTACTCGAGCGATCAAATCGCCAAAATAACATCAAAATCATTGAATCAAGCCTCAAAATCATCATTTCTATTTCAAACTTCATAAACTTCCAACTTTAGATAATTAGGTCCGAAACACGTCAAACGACGTCCGATTTCGACCAAACTTCACAGAAAGCGCTTAAACAATATATAAGACTTGTACCGGGCGTCGGAACCAAAATACGAGCCCGATACCACAGTCTTCTAATAAATTTTCATTTCCATTTTCCTTAATAATTTCAGAAAAACAATTTCACAGAAAAATTCATTTCTCGGGCTCTAGACCTCGGAATTCGACTCCGGGCACATGCCCGAGTCCCATATTTTTCTACGGACCTTCCGGGATCGTCCAATCTCGAGTCCGGGTCCGTTTACCAAAAATGTTGACCGAAGTCAACCTTAAACATATTAATATCAAAATTCTTCAAATTTTTCACAGAATTCACATATTTCAACATAAAAAGCTTTCCGGCTACGCGCCCGGACTGCGCACGCAAATCGAGGCAAGTAAAAATGCGGTTTTCAAGACCTCGGAAGCACACAATGAATGAGGAAACAGGTGATGACCCTTTGGGTCGTCACAAGATATGTTCTGTTTGCAATTGAACATGTCATAATAACAACAATCTAGGTTTATTGGGAAAAAATGAATGAAGACAAATGTTATTCCGTTTCCTACTAATATGTGTTTCTATTCATACTGCTGCAGATGAACAGTTCATGGAAGCTATAAATCGGCAAAGACAGAGATACCAATGATGGTAACTTATTGGTATACAGAAGCTGTGGCATGAGCCACTTTAATAACAGGTAAAATGGAGCAAGATACATGAGCTCTAAATGGTTGCCAATGTGTTGAAACAACAGAATGATTGTACGTTGTTTATAATGCTGTGTTCCAGGAAAGCTTTGCTAACATTATATCATTGTAGTGTATTATTTTTTCTTCTTCTTTTTTCTTAGGTCTTTTTTTCAGAATTATTGTCACTGTTTGTACTATGTTAGCTTATCTTGTTGAAGCTCCTTTTCTTGTTTGGATGTTAAGTAAATTAATATAACTTGACGATTGCTTCAAAAAGTTGACTGGAATACTAAAATTTAAGAGTATAGTTGCAATAAAACCATATATAACAGAGAAAACAGTAAAATTTAGCTTGGTGATTTCTTGCAATATTGTTAATCTTTAAAATTTTATATTGCTAACGTTATTAAATTTTATAATGTTAAGATCAAGTGTTACAAACCTCGACAGGAAGTGAGTGTTTGGTGGTCGCTCAATGTAGAAGGCGTGTGCCAACGAACGTGAGGGGCAGTCAGGACGACAAACTCCTGCAAATTGATACATTATAGACTCCGAATATATACATGAACGATTAGGGATAACAGAGTTTAAGAAATACAAACGATTTACCTTGCAAATGTTGTGCTCTTACACAACAACATTATCATTTAAGAGTTGATGAAATTTGACTTCAAATATACTCGAACAACTGAAGCGATACTTAAAACTCTGTATCTGTTGTTTAAAGTTCGGGCCTTTGATGAGGATGGTAAATTAACAAAAGTGGGTGAAAAAATGGCTCAGTTTCCTTTTGATGCCATGCTGTCCAAGATGATTGTTGAGTCTGAAAAGTAGAAGTCCTATGGGGAGACAATAACAATTGCTCCATTGCTTGTTGTGGGTAATTCAGTGTTGTATCATCCAAACGACTGACAACTCCAAGATGACAGTTTCGCTAATTAAATGTAAATAATAATAAGATATTAAAATCATAGGCAGAAAATATAATTATTACAAATTTGAGCTAAAAGCTGTATGTACCAAATAATTTAGTGTAGTCCACATCAACCTTAGTTATCAATTGGTTTTATGGTTGCAGCTGAAAGACATTCATTGGTAAAAGTAGTATGATGTTTCAGCAAAGGTTGTATTCATCTGAAATTCCTACGAAAGTAGCATTGTTGATTATATGTCTGAAATTAATCTTTCTTGCAATCAGTTAAGTGGTCAAATAGCTAAGGAACGCAGTAATGTTACTGAGATTCGGGCAGTAAACGTGTAACACAAACACATAGCTGGAACAATACTATAAGAATATCAAATGTCCAAAATATAGACATTTTGGACCTGTCATACAACCACTTGTCTGGAAGAATTCCTACACAACTTTTAGAGTTGACAACTCTACCAGTGTTTAGTGTGGCACATAACAATTTAACAGGTAGGACTGGACAGAGTAAAGTGCAGTTTGCAACTTTTAATGAAAGGAGTTATGAGTGAAATCCTTTTCTTTGTGGTCCTCCATTACACATCAAATATATGCCGACTAAAGAGATACCAATATCAGCTCCTGCGCCAAATTGGTGCGAAGATGATACTGGTTTTCTTGAGAAGGAGTAATTTTATATTTCCTTTCTTATGGCATATTCAAATGTAGTGGTCGTAGTGGTTGTAGTCCTTGTGTAAACCCGTATTTGAGTAGTGTTTGGTTTAATTTTGGTGAGTCTTTCAGTTATTCTTGTTACTACGTTGTTGCTACCAAAATTTAAACTTTACATATTAAGGTCATTGATAAGTTAATCATGCCTGAGTTATGTTTCTATACCTTCTACTTTCTTAGTAGCAAGAAAATGATTATCGAGATGCTACTATCTGCTTTCCTAACAAATTCCAAATGAACATAATCATTTGAAAATTCATCAGTGGCATGAGCCACATAAATAACACCGAAAATGGAGCAAGATACATCTGCTGTAAATGGTTGCAAATGTGTTCAAACTACAAAATGATTTTAGGTGTGTTGTATAATGCCGTGTTCAAGGAAAACTTTGCTAACATTATATCATTATGGTGTAGTCTTTTTTCTTCTTCTTTTTGCATAAGACTATTTTCCATATTTTTTTTGGTCCATGCCAAACACACCGAAGTATACCAAAGATGAGTTGGAGTACAAAAATTAGAGACGCAAAAAAAATTAGTAAGTAAAACAAATAGACTTTTAATACCTTTTCATCTTGTAGAACAAATTCAATGAAGAAATTATTGTCTGAGTTGTAACAATGCAGGACTTCCCATAGACGATCAACACGAACTTTCAACTTGTATTGCATCCTCAAAGTTGTTATATCCTTAATGAAAAAAATGCGATTAGCCATCTTTTGCATAATCAGTAAGTTATCTTGAAATCAATTGACAACATTAGGAAGGATAGAATGGAAGTACCGTGTATTAGTAGAAGAAATAAAACTGTCGAAGTGCTTTGTTAGTACATGTAAAAAGTAAGAAGTTAATAGTTTAAAGTAACTAAAAATAGTAACAACTAATGATGATGAAATAAAATATAATCATACCAATTGAAGCTGTTGAGAACAACAAATGTAGCGAAAAGGTATAAGATATGCTTTCATTCTCCAAGTAAATTTCGGAAAACCTCTTTGTAAACCACATTTATTGCTTCATTTGAAATTTGTCCATCTTCATCATAAACCAAAATCTTTAATCCCTTTCTATTTGTAACACGTGATAGAGCAACGTAAAGCTGGCCATGTGTGAAGACTGGTTTTTTCAAATATAAGCCAACATGAGATAAAGATTGTCCTTGACTTTTGTTTATCGTCATTACAAAGGATACAACTATTGGAAATTGTCTTCGTTGGAACTTAAAAGGTATTCTTGCATCAGATGGAGTTAATGACATTCTCGGAATGAACACCTTTTGTCCAGCCATATTTCCCGATAATAGTTTTGCTTCGATAACCCGATTTCCGAGTCTAGTGATGATTAATCTTGTTCCATTACATAGCCCTGAAGATGGGTCTATATTTCTCAATAACATCACTGGGACACCCACTTTCAAAGTAATAACATGATTTGGAATTCCAGAACACTTAATAGTGTTTAGGAATTCAGGTGTATGTACGTGTTCCAAACCTGTAAAAGCATCGTCTGACATGCAAATTGTATCGGAACTCAAAAATGTTTTTGGTTCAGTATGGTTTAGTGATACCATGTATTCATTGATTGATTCTACCATGTCAAGTGTGGGAGCAAGAATTCCTCTTTGTTGCAGGTATGTTATATCACTGCAATGAGTTAAAAAATCTGGATATGTACTTTCCACAATAGCTGAAGTTGGATCGCCAGAATTATTTATGATTAGATCATCAGGGATGTGAACTTTATCAATACCATCAACAGAATTTCCAATGATACCATCACCTATTGCTAAAATCCAATCAGCAAATTATTTTAGATCATTCAAATCTGAATCCACTTTATTTCCTTCCAACCTCATATTTTGTGTTAGCTTTAACACTTGACAGTGATTCCACAAATACGAAGAATTAAGGGCAGCGTTAACAATATCTTGTCTAGTACCTTTTGGAATGACTGGAAGTATTTGTCTAAAGTCTCCACCAAGAACAACCGTTTTCCCTCCAAATGGTCGATCTAAATTGGATGCATCTTTAAATCTAAGAATATCTCTTAGAGTTCTGTCTAGAGCTTCAAAACAATATCTATGCATCATTGGTGCTTCATCCCATATAATTAACTTTGTCTTGACAATCAATTTTGATAAAGGAGTACCTTGTTTGATATTACAGGTTGAATCTTCAGTTGCATTGAGTGGGATTGCAAATCTCGAATGAGCTGTTCGACCTCCTGGTAACAGAAGAGATGCTATTCCACTGGACGCAACTGTTAAAATAATATCTCCTCTACATCTTATGGCAGAAGAT